AAAACAGAACAAAACAGCCGTAATCCCATTCTGGGCCCTCAATTTTAGAGGTTTATCTGGGCCCATTTGGCCGCTCATACATGTTTATGACCAAAAATTTCGCGAGCGAGAGAGAGAGAGAGAGAGAGAGAGAGAGAGAGAGAGCTATAGATAGAGAAAACCCCCAAAAGTTGGGAACGGGTTCGGGGGGCCTCGTAAAGTTCTGCCGTTTCCACTCATAATCGGTTGTTTTGTGGCGTGGGGGGATGACGCGGATTACCCGCGTGGGCCCTCCCGCTCCCCACCATCATCAGCCAATGTGCAAAAGTGGAGCGCCAGCTGCTGGTTTCGGGTAGTTTTTGACCTCGTTGGCCTCGGTCTCGGCTTTATCTATCGGCTCCTTAAGCCATTTTAAACCTAAGTTTCTGATAGGCTTCCGATGCCTTTAAAGGGATAGGGGCGGCATAAGTCAATCGATTACGCGCGGGAAATAAAATGTCTCTGCGCCTCTTCCCTGAGCGCCCTCTCTCGCCGATGCATCTGTTGAACCCCCTCCCCCAAGTGGGGTTCAACAGATGCCGTCCTCATCTCTTTAAAGAGAAATGCAAGTCTCGTTATAGACTTTCGATAAAATCCATAGCCCCCTTCACGGTCCCTTTAAAAGCCGAATTTCTATTTTTTTAAAGTATCTTTCAACTAAACTAATATTTCTCAACTTTGCCTAGCCACGATTTGCCTCCCGAATGCTCTCAAATTCTCAATTTTCACTCCCCATCCAACCCCAGCTTGATAGCGATGCGGCTCGAGGTGTTTGCCAGTCTCGTGCTCACCCTCCACGCCGCCGCCATTGCCGATACGGACAGAAAGGAGCGTGAGATCAACCCACCCGACTCGGAAAACCGCGTGGCAAGCATTAAAAATTACATTTAATTCAAAGTATAGAAAACAAAAGCCCCGCCAAAAGATGTCGATCCGCCGAACCGGCCGACTATCGACTATCCGATTAATTTTACACAGTCCACAGAAGGTAAGGGCGGCTGAAAAAGGTCTTTTTTCCTACCAGTTAACATTCAATTTCCAAAACTAAAAATTTTTAAAGGAAATTCGCGTTTCCGGAATTTAGTCTGTTGTTCAAAAATTCAGGGGAACTGTTTAAAAGTGGCAGCAAGCGGATTATTTCAAAAAAATAGCCAAATATTTCGGGAAATAGTAATTATTTAGCGTGAAAATCGCTTTTTTTCATGGATTACATGTCGTAATGCGATCTACAGCCCCTAATTCATGAATATCATCGATTTCTGGGTGAATTTTGAAAATTAAAATAGCTAAAATGCCTAAAATCGCCTGCGAATTCTAGAAATGGTGTCAAAATTTGAAAATTGACGCGTTTTAACGCAAAAATACGGGTTAAATAACGTCGCGCGGCCGCGTTGCGGTTGGCGACTTGCCAGGAATCTAAGGGACTTTATAACCCCTTAATGAATCAGTTATTGTCTAAAAACCATCTTCAGGCGCCCAATACGTGTGTGATGACACGAACGCGCGCGGGCGAGCCAATATCTACTGCTCCGGCAAGTTGCTCGAAGCCGTCATGGCCAAGCAGTTGTACCCGGACAGTAAGGTGAGCTCAAAAATCAATAAAATTAGCGAAATTTCCCCTAAACTCTATTTTAGACGTACGTCGACCGACCGCTCAAGGAAAATCGCACGGGCCCCGAGGTGTACAAGGATTTTATGGCGCAATTCCCCGAAGAGCTCGATCAAATCGATGCCGAAAAGCTTCGAAAATTCGTTGATGCCAATTTCGATGTGGAGGGACAGGAATTGAAGCAGTTGGTGAAGGGAGATAGGCGCTAAATTCCGAGTAGATGCACATTGACGGACTGGTCGGAGCAGCCGAGAGGTCTACTGGATATTGGGGACACGAAGCTGAGGGACTTCGCCTTTCAGCTGAACAAAATTTGGAAGGAACTGTGCCGGCAGGTCGATGAAAAGGTGGGTCTGGGGCAGGTTAGCAAAGATTCTTGAAGCAATCCGGTCCTTTGGCGTTATCGGGGGCCCAAATTTTTCCGAACATACGGCATATCCCAGTAATCTAATTTCAGGTATTTCTACAGTGTATTTTAATAAAATTTTATGTATTTCAAGTGATAAGAAATTTTACACGCCCTAAAAATGCTTGGAAATCTCAAATTTTTGTCGAAAACGACATTTTTCTAACGAAAAACCGAGGTTTTCCGCATTTTCAAAACCGAAACTTTGTCAAATTTCTGCACTCAGAATTTGTCTAAAAAACTTTGGAATTAAAAAATCACCCTTGAAATGAAAAAATCCAAGAAAAATTGGATCCTAAGGAAAACGCCCCCCCCGATGATGCAAAAGCGCCGGGAAAACCGAATTCACTACGAAAATCTGGCTTTTTTAGGTAAAAGACGATCCGGAGCGCTACTCCCTACTCTACGTCCCACATCAATTTATTGCTCCTGGAGGTAGTCTCATTTTGAAGAAGCGCCCCAATAGCCAATTGAGGGCGCTTCCGCGAATTCTACTACTGGGATGCCTACTGGATCATTCGCGGCCTTTTGGCGTCTAACATGTACGACACGTCCAAGGCGATGATCCTCAACTTCAAGGTGGTCAAAAGAAAAATCAGAAATGCTTAAAAATGGAAAAATATGAATGTTATAAGTTTTTTTAGCACATCGTGGATACGATCGGCTTCATCCCAAACGGGGGCCGCGTCTACTACCTGCAACGATCTCAGCCACCCCTTTTCGCGGCCATGGTCTACGAGTACTACGCGGCCACTTCAGTAAGTCAATCGATTACGACATGAAAACCCGTTCTAGGATATTGATCTCGTAAAAGAGGTGCTTCCCAGCTTGGAGCGCGAGCTCAAATTCTGGCGGAAAAATCGGAACGTGACGGTGGAGATGGGAGATGCCGAGTACAAAATGTTGCAATACAGAACCCCGGCGAATGTTCCCAGGTTTCAATAAGGCCGGAATTTTTATCCGGAATTTAGGCCGGAATCCTTCCGGGAAGACGTTACGATAGCCGCCCAATTCACGGATCTAACGAAGAAGCGGCAATTTTGGCAGGATATTGGTGAGCGCTATAAAAATAAAAACTAAGTGAAAAATTCTAGGGAGTGCAGCGGAGTCGGGCTGGGACTTTAGCAGCCGCTGGTTTGCCGACAGCCAAAATTTGTCGACAATTGAGACGACAAACGTCGTACCCGTCGACCTGAACGCCTTCTACTGCTTCAACCTCAACATCATGGCCTATTTGCACGGGGAATTGGGTAAGGATTTCCGAAAGGGCACGATTTTCAAGCTCGGGAAATGTGTAATTTCTAAGAGATTTTTTGAAAGGTTAAAGTAGTTTTCGAAAATTTGCGGGCAATAAAACAGATCTAACTTTAAACCAAAAAGATTGAGATTTTACCAAAAACAGCTTCGTTTTCAGCAAAAAACTATTCTGCACCAGTTGTGCTATGTAACGCATCGAAATCCCCATAAAAATCCATCTAGGCAATGCCGACAAAGAGCTGCAATGGATGCACGAGTACGTCGAGTTCCGCGAGCAGTTCAGAAACGTGTTCTACGTGGCGGAAGGAAAGGGATGGTACGACTACAACTTGCGCACCAAGCAGCACAACCTCAAGTTCTACCCGTCCATGGCCGTGCCGCTGTTTACAGGTAAGAATGAAAAAAAACGAATTTAATGGCAAGCGAATTTTTGCTAATATGAGGATTAAATGTAGTAACCCGCCTCGAGCACCCAATTCATCGATTTGGATGATTCAGCAGCCAATTTTAACCATTAAAACGGCTAGAATGATTATAATATCCTGAAGATTTCAAAAATGGAGCCAGAATTTTCGAATTAACGATTTTTCATATGAAAACAGGGACAAAAAAGGGCGCGCGTTGCGACCATGGTTGGCTTATTGCCAGGAAGTGAAGAGGAAGAGCTGATTAAATTTTCTAGCGCCTTAACAAATAAACCAACGATTCTTACTAGGCTGCTACGATCGCCTCGGCATGCGAGAAGCGAACCAGCTATACGACCAAATGTCGGACATGGGCGCGTTCGACTTTGTCGGCGGCATCCCCACCTCACTCGTCAAGAGCTCGATGCAACAATGGGATTTCCCGAACGGGTGGAGCCCGCTGAATCACATGGTCATCGAGGGGTTGCGCAAATCGGGCAATTCGAGGTAGGCAACATTCCCAGCGTGAAAAAGCGCAATTTAGAATGCAACGAAAAGCGTTCGACTTGGCCGAAAAGTGGGTGCTGTCGAACTATCGGGTGTTCGTGGCTGACCGGGCCATGTGGGAAAAGTACAACGTCGCATCGGGAGCGCCGCGCGGAGGTGGAGGTGGCGAGTATGAGGTTCAGGTGGGTGAAGCGTTCCTGGGCAATCTAGCGGGGTTCCTTTGGGAATTTCGGCTTCCGGAAAATTCTGGGTCATTTTTAGGCGTTTTTTACACTGAAAAAAAAAAACGAAAAATTCAATTAAAATATAGCCCCCCCCGCAAACGAATCAGAAATATCAGAAAACACGAAAATCTATCGAAAAATTAAAAATGCCTCATTTTTTGACCAAAAAGTAACTATTTCAAAAATTTGAATGTTTTTTTATTCTATTAAAATACTTTACATATTATTCGGATCTACGCAAACACGTGAAAAAATAGCACCGCTGCAACCCCCCCCCCCGCTAATTCATAAGAACCAAATCTTCCATTTTAGGCCGGATTCGGCTGGACGAACGGCGTCATCCTCGACCTGCTCAGCACCTACGGAGATCGACTCAAATTTGAAGATGTCCTGAACGATGCCCTCCCCGCCGATGAGCCAATTCCCGTCCCGCACGGTCGCTCCATTGATGTGACCAAGTCCAGCCCCCAGTTGTTGCTCACCCTGCCCCTAGTCTTCGCCTTGTTTAGGGCCCTCATTTGGTAAATTATTAGCTATCGTGATATTGTGATTATTTAAGTGTGCCTTGCCCACTACGAGGTCTTATCGATGATGCATATTAATTCGTGAAACGGGTCCCCGATTTGATCGTTAATAAATTGGCCGTTATTTTCGAAAAAGGAAGAAGGAGCAGGAGAGAAAGAAAGTGCAAACCCACCACGTCCCGTTTTGCCGAGCACGCCGAAGCTGAAGCTCTCGTCGATGAAGATGCGCACCTATAAAGAGTAGCTTATCGTAGGGCTAAAAATAAAATTATGCACAATTTACGGTTTAGTATTTTCAGGGGATTGTGAGTTTCTTCAGAATTTTGTGGTGGGGAAGAAAGGTTCTGTTGCATTATCGAGGGAACAACCTTTTTTCAGCCAAAACTACACATCAAAAAGCATAATTTTTTTGAATGTTTCCCACTACAAATATCGTGAAATTTTGGTAAAAACAACTTAAAAAAATTAATGGTGCGGTACTAGCATTTAGCCCCATCCCCCCACGATAATGCGAAAGAATAAAAAAAATACGACAAATCCCGATTTTTCGACCAAAATTTCTAATAATATGACCGTTTAAAAAATTTCACTGAAAATTTAGCTAAAAGTTGCTCAAAAAAGCTATTAAAATACTTTCTATCATACATACCAGGCAAGAAAAATTTAGTAAGAATCCGTATTTTTCTGATATTGCATTCTAATAACCCACCTTATACTTCCACTTGAACTCCATCAACTTGGGCAGGGGGCAGATGCTGCCCGTGTTCGCGTACAACCCCTCGACGACCATGAAACGGCGAATCTTGGCCGCCTTCTTCGGGTCCTTCAACGAAAAAATATAAAGTTTTCTCTAGTAAACACACCTTCTTGTCGCGTTCCTCCTGCAGCTTCAGCAAACGCTCCAAATCTTCCATATCATTGTGCTCGAACCATTCGACGCGAGCCCGGGAGGCTTGGAGGCCTTTTTGGATGGCAAAGTTTACGCCTGGAGTTGAATTTGTAGTTTGAAAAATCTATAAATAAACGTACCCTTGTCGGCAAAAACGATATCTCCGCGCTTGGCATAGGCGGGGATGGCCGAGGCGATCGTGGCGAAGCCGTAGCTGTACAAAACGGCCTCCTCACAGCCAAAGAAATCGGCCAGCTCCTAAAAAGCGAATTTTATGAATAAACGTAGCTTTTTTTTTGTCCTCAAATAACCCCCACCTTTTCCAAGTCCAAATGCACATCGACGGTACCGTAGAAACCGCGCGGGCCGCACGAGCCGACACCGTACTTGAAGATCGTCTTTTTGGCGACGTCCTGGAAGTTTTTAATGTATTTTCCTCTAACTTTAACTAGAGAGTTTTAGCGCTCCCTAGAAGTCTCAAAAAATCTCACCTCGATCCTCTTCTCGCCCACAAATCCGAGGAAATTGCTGGTGGCCATGTTGAGGTACTCCTTGCCGTCGTATTTCGCGTATTTTGTCATTTTTCTGGAAAAAACAGTATTAGCAACCGATTGCCTGGCGAAACATACCCCTCAACATAACGCGGGTTCAGCACCGGATGATCCTGCGGCGTCTCGGGGACCAGGGGCTCGGGTACCCATTCTGCGATCAGCTCATCTTTTTGCTATCAAAAAATAAATAATTCATGCCATTTCCTCAAACCTTCTCGGTAAGCTTGACCCGGGTGTCCTTGTTCTCCTTGCGCGTAAAGTACAGATAGACGACGGCGCCGATCAGGGCGGTCTCGAGCGCTAGATGGAGGGTGGAGGCCTTGAAAATAAGTTAAAAACGCAAAGAAAAAAACTGAGTTACCTCTCCAAAAAGTCCTAACAAGGTGCCTATCATTGTGCCCAGGTTTTACCTGAAAAAACGGGATGTAAAGTTGATTTTTAAAAATGGAATGGAAGAAATGAGAATAAGAACTGTAATATGGCTTGGAAATCGCTACAACCCCGATGAGTCATTGTGATTTGTGTGGAAAAAGATAGCAAATAAACGAGAAGGAAAAGATCAGGAAGAGTTTGCGAAATTCGAGCGCAAAATCAGCTAAAATCTCGATGTCCTAGTTTATTAGAGGGGGATAGCGCCTCGAGAAAAATACTAAAAGGTTTAATACAACTAATGTAATCCCAAATGGTATGAAAAGAAAACTTAAAATTTATTACATATAAACAACAATAGCTCTTAAGAATACAAAATAGGTTTTTTAAGCCGGTTTTCGACCGTTCAGCCGATTTTTTCGAAATTGTGCTAACGCCATTCAAAAGAGCTTGCTAAATTTGTTCGCAAGATCTGCTAAAATATCCCAAAAATTCATAACAAAGCAAGAAAGTGATTGCAGCGGTCACCCCTCGGGCTGGATTTGTACTTTGGACATCCCTCGACGAGTGGCCAGTCCAATGGTTTATCATTTGCACCGGCCGGCCATCAGTCGACCCGCCAAAAATAATGGCGTGATATCGTCGAGAGGCCGTCCACTATCGCCCCGCAGCGCAAAACGGCTGTTACACTAGCAAAATCGGGTCAAACTTTACTAGGCTTTATAGAGGTACTGGTTTATTAAGGGGGGGGGGGGTGGTATTCTCCCAGATTTTTAGATATTTTCGCGATTTTTTGGGGGATTGTTCCAATAACCGTAAGCCAGTGTTCAAGCTTTTCGCTATTTTTTCGATGCTATTTGCGCCATTCGACATCGCATAAAAATATACAAAAAGTTACAATCGACAACCCCCCCCCCCCGCTAAGGCACCAGAACCGTATAGAATCTGCTGCAAAGTTGGAGTAGCACCACCGGAACACACTCTACAACCTGCTGTGCGCAAATACAACTACTCCCCACACCCAAATCTCCACAGACAAAAGACGGCCCGAACCAGTAAATAGATCGATCGAACACCCTGTAAATAAATATTTATCAGTCAAACAACCTGCAACAATAACAAGAAAAACATAACAAAACTAAAAAACCCCGATCGATTAGCTTGCGGTCGGCGCTAGTTTCTTCTTTTTCAACTTCTTCTTCCTCTTCCCTGTCGGCTGTTCGCTCAACGGCTCCTACGAAAAGATAGAGATAAGATTTTCAGGCTTTTTTTTACCTCGACAATCGCCCGTTTCCGTTTCTTCTTTTTCGGGACTTCTGGTGCGGCAGTCTAGACAGAAATAGAACACGATAAAGGTTGCAAACCTCTTCGATCTTTCGCTTCTTCTTCTTTCGTTTGCGCTCCCCTTCTGATATCGATTGAACTGGGGTTTTCTAAGCAAAATAAATATTGAAAATTGGGTCAAAATACCGGAAGTGTGGTTTTGGGCTTCACGGCCAGGAAAGGGGGCGTCGAAAGGCCGTTGCCGGGCAATGACGTATCCATGGCGGATGGCTGAAAAAAGTATCAAAATCATACACAAACAAACCCGTAGCTTCTTCTTTTTCCTTTTCTTTGAGCCATTTTCCGAAATAGACGGGGTCGCCTAGATAAAGTGTTTTTTGGAGTAAAAGAATTGTACCTCTTCTGGCTGATATGTTGCTACAAGTTTTTCCACAAAATTCTCGCGACTTATTGTCACCCCCAGGTCGATCGGTCTCATATTTGCGCGTGATTCGCCCCTAAAACAAAACTAAAACCGCAAAGTTGAGCTTACTTGATCTTTTTCACTTCGACAGCAATGTCAGCTTCTTCTACTTGTTCTTGCGAGATCTTGAGAATCTTCTCGACCTCCGTGTAATCCACGTTCTAAAACTCGGGATAATAAACAAGATTTTGGATACCTTATCCCCTTTCACCATCAAATAATGGAACTTGTTTCCTATTCTTTCTGCATCTGGAAAACTAGAAAGCATTTCTGAATGCAAAAAAAGCACTTACATAACTTCTTCTCGTTTTATTGAAGCGACTGTTGAGTAGACTTTTAACAGGACCTCGACGATTTGCTTGATTTCGCAGAAAATATCGGCTGCGATCGCGATCAGGACCATGGAGAGGCTTTGCTGGAATTACAAACTTCTAAAAAGATACAAGGAATGACAAACCCAATGCCCAAGATCCAAATAATCCATACAACCCTCCGACGCGTGCATACATCGTTTATGAAGCTGGAATGACGAATAAAAACACAAAATAAAAGTCCCACCGTCTCTAGCCGATACAACTGCTCATAAACTCGGGCTTGCAAGTAATTCAACGCCCCTTCACTCATCTGGAAATGCGCTGACAAGCCCTTGTGCGTCTCTTGAAGCCATGTCTTCAGCTCTTTTGGAAGTACCTAAAAACGTGGTGGGCAACAGGCGCCTATCCTTACCTTCTTTGCTGCACGAAACACAGCCATCGTCCGTCGCCACATGTGAAAATGGACGTGTGAGCAGGCCCGGGTGACGTTCAGCTGGTCGAGCCGGATCAGCGATTGATCGTGGAGCCCTCTGTCGCAGAGGTCGATCTAAAAATAGTTGTAGTTAGTGAAAATGGTGCGTACCAACGTTTTCACGGCGCTTGTGAGTGTCCGAGTCTCCGCGGAAGGGATGGGCGTCGCATTTGGTAGAAAAATTCGGGCAGGGCGTCGTTGGATGTAGGTCCCCGGGTCTACTTCGGCTTCTTCCATCTGAAATCGACATTTTGAAGCTGTGAAAATCGATTAGAATGAGGATAAGAAAGAAGTTACAAGGAATAATAAACTCAATAAAAAGTTTTCCGTGACATGCCAAACAACGAAATACGGTCGTTGGAGCCGTTCGGACTACATTCCGACGGCTACGTAATTACGGAAAAGTATGTTTTGGAGTGTGAAGGAGCAGCTATCTGAATTTTTGCGCCCAATTCTCAGCTCTCAATTTTTTGATTTTCAGATTCACAAACCCATTTTTATCACCAAAAACAAGTTTTCCAAGAAAAATTATAACTTTTTCAGCAGCTTATCCTTTGCTTGGCCCATCCGGCGCGCCTCACATTGGGCCGCTTTGGCCCGGAAAAACGACTGGCACCTGTGCACGGGCCCCCTATCGCCCTTCCGCGGCACATTCCACAGCAAATAGACCCTTTTCGACGATGTGAAATGATAGAGCGCGAGAGAATGGTCTGTGCCGTGGAACTGTTCATCTGCCTCTCTCACCCCCTCTTTCTAACCGTTGGACTCTCGTAATCGCGCCATGATTTCTAGAGATCACTGCACGGAGACTCCATTCGATCACCGCGTGGTGCGATTTTTTGCTTGCGTATTGCCCGTCTAAAATCAAAGAACTGCGCTGATTTATGCTCTTTTTCATCCCATTACGACAAATTTTGTATCGGTTGAGCTTCTGAGGACGACGCAAGGCTTTTAGCTGATTTTGAAATAGGATTCTGATGAAATCGGTTAAAGATAAAACGCGTTTCACGAGGGTTTCTTCGATTTTTAGACAGGGAAACCCATAAAAGATTTTTTTCGCGCTCCTTATCTATTTCGTTTTATTTGCTACTTTTCTCTCTAAACCTACAATTTTTTTCAGGGTACTCGATGTGCTCCCACCAACACCACGACCACGATTCACATGTATGTGAAGCACACGAAGAGGATGCGTTAAATTTCGGCCGGCTCTCCCTGAATTCAATGATCGACCATGCGAAGCTTGTAACGTACAACGAGTCCGTCGAGGGTTCAGGTGAGCCTTATTTTAGCTTGATATCACCGAAATTTGAAGCCTTGCAGCCTCTCAATAGTTTTGGGCGGGCCCAATTTTGTAAAATTTGGTCAAAAATCTACCTTTCAGGAGCGAAAGTGTTCCGCGCCGACAAGAATGGTACGGACAGAGACGCCTTCGTAACAAGCGACGCCGACGAGGAGCTACTCTTCATCGTCCCGTTTTCCGGCCGCACGAAGGTCACCGGAATAGCAGTTGGAAGCCAAGCGGATAGTTCGAGTCCGGCCAAGATCCGCCTGTTCGCCAACAAACCGAATATGACGTTCGACGATTGCCGGCTACAACCCGATCAGGAGCTCGAATTGCAAAAGGACCCGAAGGGAGACCTCTTCCACTCGATGAAGGCAACGAAATTCGGCGCTCTAACGCATCTCGTCATTCATGTGGCCGAGAATTTCGGCAGTGACAGTACGCGGATCAACTACATCGAGCTACGCGGCGAGAAGATTGGCGAGATCAAGGACCAGGTCGTTATTGCCGTCTACGAGTCTCGGGCGCTAAAGAAGGATCATAAGAACATCGTTCCGGACGGCGTGAAACATGATATTATGTGAATATCTTGTAATTTTTGTGATTCATTCTCTTTGCCCTGAATAACGGTTGAAAAACTACCGGTAGTTTTTGGTCTGCGATTTTTGTAGTGTTTTTCTCTTTTTTGATCTGGCTCCTACCTCTCATGTATCTATCCCCACATTTTCCACTAATTTATCGTTTTTCCCGTATGTCACTTCATAATTTATGATTTCGTAATGAGTAAACCCGGTTGAACGCTTACTTTCAGGCATGACCTCCGCCGAGGTCCCCGAGCTGATAAGACCAGAGGTTCGGCGGCTAGGCGCGGAAGAAGTTCAAGAATTGAGAGTGCGTGCAATTTGAAAAACGGAGCTATCTTTTAGGCGCAGATCTTTGCCCCGGAAGCCCAGGAAAATGTCGAGCCGGAGGAGAAGAGCGACGAGCCGCCCTCAAAAATGCAGAAGCTCGATGGGCCGAAGGGGTTGCCGCAAAAGAAATATTATAGGTGAGAAATTTAAAATAAAGTTTTTATCCTTTTTGCAGTTTTTGATGACATGTTTTGTTTAGGCAACGCGCCCACTCCAACCCCCATTCGGACCACGATATCGACTATCCTCGGAACCCGGCCGAGTAAGTGCCTGGAGCCCTGCAAAAACATTTGTTTTCTAGAATGGACTGGCACAAATACTACGGCGACTACTCCAATGGCCGAAAAGTCGAATTCGCGGACATTGGGTAGGCTAGAGAATTTTTTCCAAACAATTCTATTTAGTTGTGGCTACGGAGGTCTACTCTTCAAGCTGAGCCCCATGTTTCCGGAATCGCTGATGCTGGGTATTGAGCTGAGGGTGAAGGTAATTCGGCGCTTGTTTTCATTTTCCTATCAGGTTTCAGATTTCGTAATGGACAAAATCGCGGCGCTGAGGCTACAGGCGCTCGAGGCCGGCGACACGGGCGTCGGGTTCAAGAATTTGGCCTGTATCCGCAGCAATGCTATGAAGTGAGATTAAAATAGTTATTTTCAAAAGCTATTTAGATACCTCCCGAATTATTTCACGAAGGGCCAGCTGAGCAAAATGTTCTTCCTCTACCCGGATCCGCATTTCAAGAAGAGAAAGGTATTTTTGGGAGCTGATGCTTTTGATTGTGATTTTTTTAGCACAAATGGCGCATTATCACGCGGGAAATGCTTGGAGAATACGCCTACGTGCTGCGCCCTGGAGGTAGCAGTTTTTCATGAAAATTATACTACCATTTTTAGGCATCATCTACACGATCAGCGACGTCGAGGAGCTGTCACAGTGGATGGTCAAGGAATTGAGCCGGCATCCACTATTCGAGCGGTTGACCGACGAGGAGGAGGTGAGCTTTATTTTTTTTTTGTTTATTACGTTTGATGTTTTTCCAGAAAGCCGACCCGGTGACGGCGCTGATCTACGAGTCGACCGAGGAGGGCCAAAAAGTGACGAGAAACAAGGGCGACAAGTTCGCAGCCGTTTTCCGGCGCCTGCCCGATCCGGAGCCCGCCGAACAATGATCTCTTTATAGCATTCCATATTTCCCGGATTGATTGTTGAATTTTTGTTTTTCACTGATTGTTATTTGAAAGGGTTGTTTGAGTAAACGTTGATTACATTGCTCTTTTGCGAATTTTGAGATGAGGTTTGGAGCCTTGATTATCAGTAGTATTTACGAGCTTTAAGTTTTGGTTCTGCTGATTTCAAAGAGCTTTACTCCTTGTTTTAGGTATTATGCCTGAGGAAGACGATTATGAGAGTCTTCCATCGACTTACAGTGTCCCGGTGAGTTTTGGAGGCTTGGAATGCGAAAGAACTGCCGGTTTTGGGCGGCAACGAAATCTTGGTGCCTATTTATTTTCATTTTTGCAGGTCCACATGGCCGCGGGCGCACTCGCCGGCATCACCGAGCATTGCGTGATGTACCCGATCGACTCTGTAAAAACAAGGATGCAGGCAATTCTAGGTTTTAATACATGATTTCGATCTTTTTTCAGTCTCTATGCCCGTGCCCAGACACTCAGAAATGCCCGACACCAGTCCACTCACTGATGAGGATAATGAAAAAGTAAATAAATCGAAATTTTGCGGACTAAAATCTTTTTAGGGAGGGCTGGCTTCGTCCGTTGCGTGGGATGAATGCGATGGCGGCTGGTGCCGGTCCGGCCCATGCTTTGTATTTCACCGTGTATGAAAAGCTAAGGTGAGAAAAAGCTTGTATGTTATAATTATTTTTAGGGAACGCTTTACCGGCGGCACCCACGGACACTCGAACACGTTGAGCTACGCGGCGGCCGGCGTTTTGGCCACCCTTATTCACGACGCCGTCATGAACCCTGCAGAGGTAAAATTCTAAAAATATGTGATTCTTGAGATGGCTTGGAATCCTGGGCAAGGCGCATCTTTCACAAACTGCTGAACGAGAACCGTTTTCCCAAAATTCGCATTGGGCGGATTTGGCTCATCTTTAGCGTTTCTCGTCAAAATGTCGATTTTGAGATGCAGAAAACCGCGAGTTGGTTTCGAAAACTGGGGTTTGCTCAAAATTTCAAACTCAGTCGCATGAGCTATTTTGCCTAGCAAAACTCAATTATCACCTAAAGTCATCCTTATAAGACACGGTGGTAATTCTTATGTCTAGGTTGTGAAGCAGCGAATGCAGATGGCGTTCAGCCCGTACGGCAGCAGCATAGAGTGTGTGCGATGTATTTATCGACGGGAGGGCATCAAGGCCTTTTATAGGTATACGAATTTAAGTTTCCAAAAAATTTGTTGTTTTTTCCAGATCTTATGCTACGCAATTGACGATGAACATCCCGTTCCAAATGATCCATTTTTCGGCTTACGAATTTTGGCAACAGGTCGGTTTTATCATGCAATTTTTGTAATTGGTTTTTAGTTGCTAAACCCGGAGCACAAGTACGACCCGAAGACTCACTTCATAGCTGGAGCCATGGCTGGTAAGTGTTGCTGACAGGTCCCTCAAAATCGTTATTTTCAGGCGGTCTGGCGGCTGCTGTCACGACACCGATGGATTGCATCAAGACGGTGCTCAACACCCAGCAGTCACCGGAAATCGAGCAGAACCGTGTTTTTATGAAGGTCTGTTTTCGCTTGCGTGTAGACAGGAAATGCGTCGGGCTTGATCAGCTCCGACGAACGATTAGTTTGGAGTCGGATGGTTGGACGAATGAGCAAAGCATTCAGTTGTTCGATAGGACACGTTGAGTAAAGTTGTGGAGCAAATAGCGCTATTATGAAATTCGAGCTGATCGGCCGACGGGAAACCCGTTTTTACAAATTTTCCAGGCGACACACGCCTACCAGGGAATGTCAGACGCGATGCGCTCGATCTACAAGCAACGCGGTATCCGCGGCTTCACCTGCGGCATCCAGGCTCGCGTCATGTACCAAGTGAGCATTGCCAACCCCTCTCGCTTATCTTTATTGTCTTTAGATCCCGGCGGCTGCCCTCTCGTGGTCCGTCTATGAGCTGTTCAAGTTCGTGCTCGGCTACAGCGAGGCCAAGAACTAGCATCATGAAATCAACTCGAATTTCACCACTCTCTCTTGCACCTCCTCGTTTCACGACATCCCAAAATGGATTGTGTGGCTCGCTAGCGGCCCATCCTCTTGTTTCTGTGCTTTATTCCAGAGTTTAATAGCGCATTTGCCTCTCGTGTTAATCGTTTCCCTTTGTAGCTCTTACATTACTGGTCAAGCCTCAAATTAGGTGATATCCCCTTCACGAATTTTCTGTTTGTAGTAGGTAGAATAGTTTAAAAACGTCCGTTTTGGTTGTTGTGCTCGAATTCATCGTCCAAGTGGCCTCATCTTCTGACATCCGCTTACATTTCTGTTTCTTTTTCCCAAGAGCCCTTATCTTTACTTCCTATGATAAATATTTTTGAAAAAGAGAAAAAGTGAAATTTATACGCGTGATTCGATAGAGATTATATTGTGAAAGAAGGTCGGTGATTTATTGGGAGATTTCGCGAGATTGTTGCATCATAAGCTCTAATGGGTATCGGGACCGTTTTAGCCATTATTTCAGGTTCCGTCGAACCGTCGCTTCGGTTTTTACGAATTCTCGCTTTCGTATAGCCTTTTTAGCTTTTTCAATTTAAACTTTGGGCTTTATCTAGCTCAAGAAGCTTGATCTTCACTCCATAGTCTCATAGAAAAGCTGTTGTAAATTCCCTACAGGCCTCGTCAAGAAAGATAGGCGGCCGGCCAATTATCGATTTTTAGGGCGCCGGTTACTTGCCGCATGAAACGGAATCCGCAACAAAAAGTTGGCTTCTCCTCTTTCTCTTGCTTCTCTATCTTTAGATAGTACTTTTATAGCTCACCCCGGCTCAAAATAGCTTACCTCTACCCACCGCCTATTTTTGCATTTACATGATTTTAGGGCTCAATTCAGCAGTCTCATGCACACAAAGCCAGACCTTGGGCTATCCTGTTCCCGTTTGCGTGTGCGCCCCTCCTACATGTGACGGTTCACGTGCAAAAGTCCTGTCCTAGTGCGTTTTGTTGGTGCGGTGGGCCAGAGGACAACAGCCGGGGCGGTAGTTGACGGAATCACTACGCGCGTCCTACTTCTCATGTTTGTGGGTTTTGTAGGCTAAAAATCACCTAAGAACCCTCGCCGGATTAGTTTTGTCAGTTTTGGACCCGGAAATCGCCCGGGCTTTTGGCACCCTGTAGTTGGCTAAATGCTGGGTGACGCGCTTTCCGGACATCGTCTGGAGCCTCTTGAAGTTGTTGTTTTTTGCTTTTCGATCCGGTTGCAGTCTAAATTTCGTTCACAAAATTCGTAGTTATGTAGCTTCGCGGGCTTTGTTTGGACATCAACGTGTATAATCCCGGCATCGTCTGGAACGTCTTGAAAACATTGGTTTAGCCGCTTCGCTTCAGCGTTTCTTCTAAATCCAGTTATTTACACGCACGACCTGGCTATCTCTTGCACGATGTGCTTCTTTCCTTAGAAGTTAAGGTTTTTACTATACTGGAAGCTTCTTAAGAACTTCCTCTTTTTCGTGCTTTTCCGTCTAAATCATTATATTTACACGAATTTCTGCGGATTTAGCGTTGGTAATGAACGTTTTTAATACCGGCATCGTCTAGAGATTCTTGGACTTGTTGTTTTCTTCATTTTCTCAACGTTTCCGTTCAATCCCGCTATTTGCGCTAATTTCACCTTTCCAGATGTCCACCGTACAAGGCTCGTGCCACGTCAACTCCAAATGCGTGCTCACCGCCGCCGCTTTTGTGCTGGGCGGAGCGGCAGTCGGATATGCGGTAAGAGATCGTTGAGCTAATCTTTTAACTGTCCTTTCTGTGGTCAGACGGCCGCCGGCACCGGAGTATTGCTTGTACTCCTCGGAGTGGGCGCCGGATTGCTAGTTGGTTTTAAGTTTCGGGAGTGGTGGCTGGCTAACGATATTCTATTGTACCTTTTTAATGTCCATTTGCAGATCGGCTACGGGATCGCGAAACGGTCGGCGCGTGTGAACTGCGCGCAGAAGCTGGAGTGCGACAAGGTCGTCGACACGGTCGACATGGAAGATATCGGGGATAAGAAGGTGTTTTGCCGCTGTTGGAAATCGAAAAAGGTTCGTGGTTATATTTTTTACTTCCTTCTAAAAACGTTTATCTTTAAAAAACCACGAAATTTTGATCAAAAGTGGAAAAAATTGCTTTTTCCGCTTTCAAATTTTCAAAATATTGCGAATTCTATTCTCAAATTTTTCAATTTTCTAGATAGGTTTTGCGCTGTGTCTAATAAAACGCATCAAAAACGATTAAAAACTATCAAACTATTTGATTGCCGCTTATACCAATGCGATAGCGCGTTACATACTGCCGAGTTTTCCCCAATTTTTACGATCGTTACAAACAAGTAATAATTTCCTATTTTTAGTTCCCCTACTGCGACGGGGCCCACAACAAGCACAACGTCGACACCGGCGACAACGTTGGCCCGCTGATCGTTACCAAGGTATCCTGGCTGACCGTTTTTTAATCCCATTTTAGGCGAAACCCCAGTAAACGACATGGTCATCTACTCCTTCTACTAGTACATCTTGTCGCACCTCAACATACGGGATTTTTAGAGCGTACCCTCCCAGCCTTGATTTTTGTGTCTGGCCCAGTGAAAGTTTGTGTTTTTTTGGATTCTATATGCTTTTTTCTCGCGCGTTTCGAATAAATATTATAGCTGCAAATTTGGGCTTCACATTTTACGGTACTAGTTCGTTAGCGGGGGAGGTATCTGGCCTTTTTTGCCCAAAATTAAGATTTTTGAGAGGAATAATGATTTTTTTTACTTTCTACGGTTAAAAAAGAGCTAAAAAGCTCTAAAATTGTTTAAGTTTTTATTGGGTGCCTGCGGGGCGAAAGGTCAAAGCTCGGTGAATTTGCACGCTTCAAATTACCTTTTTAGCCATGACGCTAAGTGGTTTGCTGTTTTTCCGTCACTTCCAAGAGCCGCTTTGACCTTTCATAGTTCACGCCGTAGCTTCTATTTTGAAGCTTGCACTCCCCGGGCCCCCAACCAGAGTTTCCTTAGCCTTTGGTGGATGAAATGTCAGGTCCCTTGATGTGTTGAAAGTTTGGCCCCCGGCCCTGGTGAAGGCCCTACATGGTTGACCTTTCAGCGAGGCGCTGCCCACGGCGGATTCGCGCATTTTTGTGGCCGCGGCTAGAGAAACGGAAGTCACCCCGAAATGCCACACGACTTCTTCAGGCTTTCCATCCAGCTAGATGCCATTTACAGCCCCAGAAACAGCTGGGCCACTCCGGCTTGACGACAGGATGAAGTGAGAGTGAGGTGCGAGCATGGATGCGTTTGCATAGTGTGAGGTGATGATGCGCGATTGTTGAAGGGGAAATCGCCGCTTAAGCCGCTGATTTACGCTGATTGTTTTGCTAGAGAAGTAGCCAGAGAGTCTTTGAGGCCCAGATGTGACTTTGGTCAAAGTTGTAGCCGATTTAGCGCCGTTTAGGAAAATTAGGAAATTACCTTTTTAGTCCAACTTTTTCGGGGTCTATTTTACGTCTCGAATAAGTATGTTCTCACGCAAGAACCGTCAGAGAATCGTACGAACTTCTGCGTGATCGACGAACTTTCAAGAACTTATTGCCCGTTTTCTGAGTTTTTAATCATCCCTGAGAACCAGGGGCCAGGGAAAACTTCCAGATTCCCACCATTTCCCCCCCAATCTTGAAAGCGCCGCGGACCATGGGTGTCGCCTTACTCATAGAGTATTATTATCCAGAAATAATGGCGTCTATGTACTAGTGCGTGGTGGCCGTTCTGGAAAAAGACTAATATAGCGGGAGCGGGCTGGCTGAGTTGAGCTGTGATCGGTCGATGGGGAAAAAGCGGATCTAGAGGTCAAAAGTGATGCGAGAGGCGGTTTTCAGAAATCATCTATTTTTACAGCACCTAATTGCTTCTAGTACTTTTCTAGCAAGTTTATTTGGTGAAACGTAGATTTAAACGGTGCCTTTTGGTCATAAATAGGCCGTAATGACGGTTTTAGAGCAATAACTCCAGATTTCCAACCAAACCTGATGGAATCACGTTCATTTAAAAGCTAGAAAAGTTATTTTCACCGTGCCTTTCCTAAAAACGATTTGAAAGTCTTAACTCTGTCGCTTTTTTTCTAGTAAAACGCGAATTTCGGCGTGAGCTTTTATTAAAAAACCATTTAAAACAACCATGGCGAAATTGCCTAGTTTTTCTATGGCGAAAATTAGATTGTGGCGCTCGCTTTTCGTAAAAACGTGCTAAAAGCGTTTCTCCATGAACCACAGTGAAATCACGCTGTTCGATCTGAAGTAGGCTAAATTTCCCCGCTAACTTTTCGTAAGAACCCTTTTCAGATAGTACCACGTGGTAATTTTGCAGGTGTACCCCGTATTTTCCGTTTCGTTGGCTGGATGGACTGGCTATCCGGTCGGCTGCTTATCCGTTTCCGGATTAATAGTAGACGTAGTATCTGGGAAGGTCTAAAAATTTCCGGCCGTCCACATTACCATGGATTAGCGAGACGATTAGGGGGGCTGCTGAGAAATCGGCGGATTCCGTACATGTCGTATTTCCGTTAAGTGGTTCCGCTTTGTCACCCGGATGGGGCACATTGAAGGTGGAAGTTGGAGCGTTTTTTCAGAGGGCTTACCGGTTAGGAATAGAAAATAATATCTTTTAGAAAGACAGGAAAACGATAGATCCATTTTCTTATTGTTTTAGGAATAAGGAAATGTGTTCCAAGCTAAAACGGCGTTGCGTGCAAGATAAGAATTCGTTTTTTTTTGGGGTTATGGGCTCGGGTGCCAGGGGGTTTTAGTCTATTTTTAACGTAATATAAAAGTTTTTAGAGAAGTTTTGTAGCGTTAAAAGAGGTAGTAGAGCTCGTAGCAGAGGTTTTAGAACGACTTTTCGCTGGTGGATTTTGTAATCGAGCATCTTCGCTAAAAAGTGGTTTGATCAGCCAAACTGTTCAAAATGCTATTCAAATTTCGGTTTTCTAACAACCTTAACTAAGCTTAAAACCTTTTCAAAGAGAAACTTTGTTCTTTTCATGGGATTTTTAAAGCTTTACAGGCTTTTGCATGTTTGAAGCAGTCGATCAGAAGCGGTTTTGTTTCTATGCTTTCTAAAAAAACTTTTTTGGAAGTTGTCTAGAAGTAGCAATTATTTTCGATAAAAAAAAGCTTATTTTCTAGACGAAGCTTCTCAAATTTGGTTATTTAAGTTTAAACTTAAGTTTTATTTTTCTAAACCCTAACATTTATAAAACGAAAAGCTTCGTCTTTGTATCATAAAAGTTTTTAGAGTTTTTTGCAGGGGTTTACAGGCTTGAAACGAGCGTTTTGCAGTTTCCAACAGCTTGGGAGCCTTTCTGACTTCATAACTGGCACTTTTCGAGATTTTTAAAGCTTCCAAAAATACCGGAAGTCTGATTTTGCGTCTGATTCACTTTTTTATGGCTTTTTAGAACCTTTTCACGTTGTAATGAGTTGATATTGGGCCCGCAGGGAGGGTAAATCGTGACGACGAGGAAGTAATTGTGGGCTGGCGGCGGCTTGTTCGTAGCCTGCCCTCCCCCCCTCCTTTCAGCTTCCGGCAATCGAATATCCCCGAATTAGACACTACCGGGCAGATTCGCTAAACTGTGGTGCCATTTTGGAGGGTGGTGCAACTCCCTCGAGAAGGGTAATAATATCCAAAGAACCGGGTAGTCTGGGTGTTCTGGGTTGTTAGCGGGGGGCGGGGAGGTTCAGGGGGTAAGAAACTAACCTATTTTTTTCAGCCAAAGCCGTGTTGTAATAAAAACTATTTATATATTTGTTTTAGCAACGTTTTTAGCATTAACATAAAATTAAAAGCATACTTTTTCAAGAAAGAATAGAATTTTCGACCATTTTCCATTATGTTTTTGATCTGACCAAAAAGTCCACTTTGCAAAATTTTTTATGACTTTTTGGCTGGTTTTCAGATTTAGAAAGCGTAATCTATTATCAAAAGAACCAAAAAATTAAAAAAACCGTATTTTCGAACATTTTCCAGCAATTTTTTTGTATAAAAATCAAAATTTTCGAAGATTTTGGTACTTTTTTTTGGCTAGACAAGAGCTTAATTTTTTTAAATAGAGGTATTTGATGATTTGGCGTGTAGCGGAAAATGGAAAATTTACTCCTTCGTTCTCTGCCCCCCTCTAATGCACCAGCACCAGGAAGTCTGGCCCCGCATTCTCATCCCCATTTTTTTTGAGCTTTTTTGGGTATTATTTTGAGCGGCTTAACCCGAGCGAAATCCGGCAAAACATATGGGATTTCGGAAAGGAGGATTCGGCCACTTATCCGTTTTGAATCGGAACGGGGAAAACATCCAAAGAGGAGAGAGAAGAAGCCGAATTTCGGGGATTCCGGGTGAAACCTATCGACGGCGTGGGATTGGAGTAAATCGAGGCGTGAGTGTAATGTGGGGGGGAAGTGTGATTTTTGTGGTTGATTTGGGGGCTTTATATTTATGCATTGATGGGAAGAAGCCTTGGCGAGATGGCAGATTCAAATAATCATGACTTTTGGAAAACAAGAATTTTAGGAATCAAAAAATTATTCAGAAAATGAAAAATACTTGGGAAAAAATTGGTATCTACCGTATACGACTTTTTAATTATTTATTGTTAATTTTAAACATCTAGGGCGGATTTTAGCAAGCCAAAAAAGCCGCGAATAAGCACGTTTTGCACATTTGGGTCCCGCAGCGATTTTCTTTCGCTATTTGCCAGAGCTTGGTGCGTTAGGAATTAAAAATATCTAAAAATCAAGAATTCTGCTGAAAAATGTTAAAAATCAGTATCTAGAGCGGCATTTGCTCATTATTTCCTCAGCTATTTAAAAAAATAGAAAAGCCAGGTTTCAAAGCTACGGTAATCAAATCGACGAAAAAATGACTTTTCCATTTGGGTCCCGCAGCGATTCGTGGCTAGCTGCCAAAGCCTCAATCTCTCAAATCACATGTTTTTTTTTGTTTTAAAATCCGGTATTTTGCAGCTTGTCCCCGTAAATTGGTGCCCTCTGTAGCCGCTGGATTCACCTTAAAATTTGGCCATTTTCCAAAATCCAGGTTTCCAGCTTCAAACATTCTAATGGTAGGTTTTCCTAGAATCCCTGTGAGTTGGCAGCCATTAAAGGTATTCAAAAGCCACGGAGTAAATAGTGAAACCTGTTTCTCGAAATTTTGCGGTTTCCCTTGACCCCGGAAAATATATTTTTCTCGGGGTTCCATTTCAATCCCGTGGAATTTTCGAGAAGAGAGAGATAGAGAGGGAGAGAGCGAAAAAAAGAGAGAGAGACAGCGACAGATGCAAAGTGTTGTGCTCTGCCCCCGGCGAATCCGATTTTATAGAACTTTCAGTCGAGCCATTTATCCCGGGGTGTTTCTGGTCGAAAGTTAATTGTACGGGGGGTATTCCGATGGAATACAATTGCGAAGGTGGCGGCAGGTGGATAATGGGACTGATCGGGTTATTGTT